GACAGGAGTGTAGCTGTAGTGACAGGAGAGAGGTGATTGTGTCAAACGCTGTGTCTCTCTTCCAGGCCCGACAGGCTGACTCGACCGGTGGCCATCACCTCTCCAGGTACTGACACCCCTCCGAAGCCCCCTGGCTTCCCGCACAATGTCATGGGTATGGTGCTGAAGGGTCTCTGAGAATCTAGATACAATGTGCAGCTCCTGGCAGTGTCAAAGGCCAGTTTCACAACAAGGGGATGCTGGCTGAGATGCAGTGGTCCCAGATTCAGTGGTCAAAGCAAACGCTCATGTAAATGATCAAGTGTCGATCCCCACAGGAGAGCCGTTGATGTGCAGTACCAGTCCACTAGTTGCTCCACCTCCTCTCTGTATGGTGCCTCATCGTGGTTACTGATGAGGCCCACCACTGTCGTGTCATCAGCAAACTTGATGATGTCATTTGCACTGTGCTTACCAGTGCAGTCATGAGTCATCAGCGTGTTATTTATGTTATGTTATTACATGTTACTGTTATTGCTATTGTGTTACTGTCAATTGTCTTATCTTCTGTCCTATTTATATAATGCACCTGAGTGACTAATGAGAAACACTTTTCATTATACTGTGCACCTGTGTAAGTTTAATGACAATAAAGTTGAATTGAATTGAACAGGAGTGGGCTGAGTTCACAGCCCTGGGGGGGTCTCCGGTGTTCATTATCATGGTACTAGAGATGTTGTTTCCAGTCCGCATTGTCTGAGGTCTCTCGGTCAGAAAGTCCAGGATCCAGTTACAGAGGGAGGTGTTAAGGTTCAGCAAGCTCAGTTTTTCTATCAGTTTCTGGGGGGTGATTGTGTTGAATGCTGAGCTGAAGTCTATGAACAGCGTTCTTACACAAGCGTCCCACTTATCCAGAAGGGAAGGGGCCAGGTGAAGGGCGAGGGATACGGCATCATGGGTAGACCGGCTGGGACGATGCGCGAGCTGGAGGGCGCCCAGAGGGGGTGGGGAGTCATGTGACCCATGACCGGCCTCTCGAGGCACTTCGTGATAACTGGTGTGAGCGCCACAAGCCGATAGGCACTGAGACAGGACACAGTAGACTTCTTCGGCACTGGTACAGTCATGCTGGTCCTGAAACAGACAGGGATGACCGCCTGGCCCAGGGAGATACTGGTCAGGTCCAGCAGCCTGACCTGGGTTAACTTCTGCTAGTGTCTCCCTCACATCAGGGCAGGAGGTATGGGCAGGAGGTATGGGCTTTCCCGCAGGCACTGTGTTTAGTGCCTCAGATCGCGCACAACCGTCATTCAGCGCATCCGGAAGGGAGGCACCTCCCTCACCGGCGCGTGGAGGAGTCCCGTAGTCGGTACTGGCCTGGATACCCGGCCACAGGCGCCGCGGGTCTCTGGTGACCGCCGCGGGTCTTCCGCGCGCGGTTGCGCTTTGCCTCCCTGGTGGCGCCAGACAGGTCGGCCCTGGCAGTCCCAAGGGCTTCCTGGTCACCTGATCCGAATGCTGCGCTGCGAGGTCTCGGCCCTGGTTTCTGGCTGGCCCGTGTGATGACGGATTTAGAGAGGGGGACATCATCTCCGCACTTGCTGATGAAGCTCGACGCAGGTGCTGCATACTCCTCTCGATTGATGTCGTTTTCATAGGTAGCGGCCTCCCTGCACATA